TGCATCCGTTGGGTCTTGAGTAAATTCCTTAATGTCTACCCCTGTTTTCTCTTCTGTAAAAATCAAGAGAGTAATCATAGTTCCCATCTCATAACGCTTTTATTGTGAAAACTAAGATAACCCATGCTATCTGCTGATACAGTGCCTAGCAATAGTGAATGCCTCCAAAACTTTAGCTGTTACATCATCATCACCATCATCATTAGCGTGAAAACCTCCTGAGGGGGTGAGGCACTGTATGCATTTCCAGTACAAGCATTCCACCTTTTATAACATCTACCATGGTTTACTACACATTGTCACTTCCACCTTTCTGCTTCTTGACTAAATCTTAAACTAAACTGTCTAGTTGGAGGTTTGGCAGTTGTATCCCCAAAGTAGAGTGCCCTGGATGGCACAGAATGTTGTAGCTATGCAAGTCACCAGTTTTGCTGGTCCTTGCGATGAGAATTTACGCTGAGAATTGCTGCCCATTCTGAACGCATCAGTGTTTGAGCTGTTGTAACATTTCTTATGAATCAGACCAGACTTTCACTTCAGAACAATAAATAACAATTCCTTCTAAGAAATCTCGGCTCACTGCAACCTCCGTCTCCTGGGCTCAAGCGATTCTTCTGCCTCAGCCTCCCATGTAACTGGGATTACAGGTGCGTGCCACAATCACCCGGCTAATTTTTGTATTTTTTAGTAGAGACGGATTGGCCAGGCTGTTCTTGAACTCCTGACCTCAGGTAATCTGCCCGCCTTGGCCTCCCAAAGTGCCGGGATTACAGGCATGAGCCACTGCACCCAGCCATAGATTTTTTAGTGAGTTAGAAATGGATGTAAATTTCCTTTTATAGGAGTTAGACATTTATTTTTAACAATTAACCACTGAATTCATTTTCAGAAATAGGCCTGAATTGCTTATTAATTTCATTACAGATGTAACTCTAAAAGCCAATTCCATTTCCGAACTATAATTACCATCGTTTGAATTTAACAGAGAAAGATGTCTTCCAAGACTTCTTTTGGGTGGATGCCTGGTTTTAGAACAGCCAACTTTACCCTAACCCATGTACAAGACAGTTCTCCAGGTGGCCTTGGACTGACCCAGTTCTCCCTTCTTCCTTGCTTGGAGTTCTTAAGAATAACTGTAGAATGCACTGAGAATGCAATGTCCTGATATGGAGGAACTGCCTGAAACAGCCTGGCCCTGTTCTTGTCCCTCCTAGGGAATGTAACATCTTGAGTTAGGGAGGAACTGTTTGAGACAGCCAGTTGTGTTCCTCTCTCTCCTTTAAAGCTTTGTCCAATGAGTTATGTGGCTCCTATGATATATAACCCAAGGCAGGCTATGGTGCAAGTGGGGCACGAACTTCAAGACTCCATCAGCCCTGCCCCGGGCAGTTTTCTTGAGCCCTGGGGTACTGGCTCACCATGGAGCCAGGGCCTCTTTTGTCCCTTGCTTCCTGTCTGTAAGTAATACATCTGCTTCATGTAATGTATTGGGTATGAGTGTGTTCTGTCACACTGGACGCAAGACAGGTTGGTAACCAGTGTACACTGAACCTGTTAAAGGATATCTCATTAATTTACAGACATATATATAGACTGAAACAATAGGAAGGAAGTCTTTCACCAACCACTAATATTGTAAAGAAAGGCTTTTATTGAGCTAGTATTATTTAATGAAGATGGGCAGCAATTTTAATACAATCTTCTTTTCCAAGACCTTTGACAGACCTTAGGCCCAATTTTCCACCTTTATGTCTAGGAAAGTGCAAGTAAAACACTTTTGAGGACATGAAAAACACAAGCTTGTTGTTAAGGTGTATCAGTAGCCAGGGAAATCCGCCGTGCCCCTTTCAGGGTCATCTAACTAAGGCATGGAGAAAGAAACTGCCTCAAGCCAGCTTCTATCACCTCTGCAGGGAAGGTGGCCATGCAAACCAGGACATGGTTCAAAGTGAAAAAGAGTGTGGTTAATAATCACGCCAGAACACCAGATATAAGAGGTAAGGGCAAGTCAGCATTCTGTACATCGCTTCTCCCTTCAATTTGGAAAACTCAGTGCAGTAGGGTTTTGCACTGATCGTTTCACAAGACAGCTAGGAGGAAAGCCTGTGTGCTCTGGAAAATGCATATCTTGTGTGTTTACCCTTTTAAAGGTAACTATACTTCGAAACAGGTGAACTGCAGAAAATTAACAAAGACTTCTCTTTTTACCATGTTTACCTTTTTAAGAATTTCACACATTTCCGGCCAGGCGCGGTGGCTCACGCCTGTAATCCCAGCACTTTGGGAGGCTGAGGAGGGTGGATCACCTGAGGTCAGAAGTTCAAGACCAGCCTGGTCAACACTGAAACCCCGTCTCTACTAAGTATACAAAAATTAGCTGGGCGTTGTGGCGGACGCCTGTAATCCCAGCTACTTAGGAGGCTGAGGCAGGAGAATTGCTTGAACCTGGGAGGCAGAGGTTGCAGTGAACTGAGATGGCGCTATAGCGCTCCAGCCTGGGCAACAAGAGCGGAAGTTCGTTCCAAAAAAAAAAAAAAAAGAATTTTATGCATTTCCTAGGGCATACATGCAAAAGCCTTCACATTTACCCCTTTTTAAAAGAGCTATTTCTCAAACTTACATGTATACAGTTCAGTAGTGTTAAGTACAATCACACTTGTTTTGCAACAGATCTCTAGAATTCTTGCAACACAAGCTCTGTACCCACTAAATACAAATTCACCCTCTCCCCTTCCCCCAACCCTTGGCAACCACCTTTCTACTTTCTATTGTATGATTTTGACTACTTTGGACACTTCACATGGAGGAATCATACAGTATTTGTTCTTTTGTGGCTGGCTTATTTCACTTGGCATAATGCCTTCAAGGTTCATCCACATTGTACATTTGACAGCATTTCCTTCTTTTCAAAGGCTGAATAATATTCCATTGAACGTATATACCACATTTTCTTTATCCATTCATCAGTTGATGGACATTTGGGATGCTTCCAGAACCTCTTGGCTATTGTGAATAATGCTGCTATGAACATGGGTGTACAGATATCTCTTTGAGATCCCGCTTTGGTGGTAATTCTCATGGTAATTCTGTTTTCAGTTCTTTGGGGAACCCGTGTACTGTTTTCCATGACCACCATTTTCCATGACCACCATTTTCCATGACCACCAACAGTGCGCAAGGGTTTCAGCTTCTCTGCATTCTCCCCAATACTTATTTTTTTTTGTTCTTCTGATAGTGGCCAGCATGATGGGCGTGAGATGATAACTCATTGTGATTTTGATTTATATTTCCCTAATAATTAGCAATGTTGAGCATATTTTTATGTTCTTATTGACCATTTGTATGCCTTCTTTGGAGAAATGTCTGTGCAAGTCCTTTGCCCATTTTTAAAAATTGAGTTATTTGGTTTTCTTGTTGTTGAGTTATAGAAGTTCCTCATATATTCTGGATTTGGGGTCCTTATAAGATCTATGATTTGCAATTATTTTCTCTCATTCTAGAGCTTGCCTTTTCACTTTGTTGATTGCTTCCTTTGACACACAGAAATTTTTAAGTTTGATGTAGTCCCATTTCCTTCCTAACCATCTTAAGTGTACAGTCAGTAGTGTTAAGTATATTCATCCAACCCTATCTTGCAGACCAGATGACAAACATATTAATGAAAGAACTACTACCAGTCATTGATGCAACACTGAGTCTGAACATAGGCTTAGACGCATTTGGAAACATTCCAAGATATTTATAAGCAAGAGACACGGGGGCATGAATTCCTCAGAATATGTAGAATTATCTAGATTTTAGCCTATCTGACAAGTTTCTCTCCCTATTACCATAACAAAAGTTTTTTAAAGCACTGTATAAACTGAGAGATTTTAGTTAATCACCTGCCTTGCAAAGAACCTTGACTAATGAGTAAATAAAGTTCAGACAGTTGTAAAGTGAAGACCGGATAGCTCTTTCACTGTAGAAAACATTATCATTATATACTATGTAACAGTGTGCAAATAATACAAAATAATATTATAAACCATAGGCTATTAGATTACTAGTCCTTTGAAAAATATTTCTGGAAATGTACAATGAAAGAATTCTAAGTTCTAGGCACTGTAAGCATCTTTTCTCTTCTCTTCTCTTCTCTTTTTTATTAGACACGGAGTCTCACTCTGTCACCCAGGCTAGAGAGCAGTGGTGCGATCTTGGCTCACTGCAACCACCACCTCCCGGGTTCAAGCGGTTCTCCAGCCTCAGCTTCCCGAGTAGCTGGCATTACAGGTGCCCACCACCATGCCTGGCTAATTTTTTTTATTTTTAGTAGTGACAGGGTTTCATCATGTTGGCCAGGCTGGTCTCGAACTCCTGACCTCAAGTGATCTTCCCGCCTCAGCCTCCCAAAGTGCTGGATTACAGGTGTGAGCCACTGTGCCCAGCCAAGCATTTTCTTTAAAATATTCTGCATATATTTCCTATATGATCAGACTTTTAAGTAAAATATCTGATCTTCGGAAATGCAAAGGGATTTCTGGGTATAGGAAAAGTCTTATTTTCTTATAATTACAAAATATATTTTCTACATCATAAATCGATAGTAAGCGTATCATGTCCTTGTAACAACTAAACACTGGGGCACATATAATATACTGATTGATAAGCCCTTATGAAAGAATACACATTCATGTTATAAAATAAAATACATCTAAAACCATGGCCAATGTTCAGCCAGGAAGTGCCAGTCTGGGCCAACAGGCTGTTTCTGAAAGGCCTGAGTTCTGGTCAGTGTCTGTGCCTTACTTTTGATTATAATCCCTACATATAGTGCTATAGAACCACTAATGGATAAACATAAAAAAGATAGCTCAAAAATGTCAGACATAAAAAGATATTACAAGCTGGGCCAGGTGGCCAGCACCTGTAGCCCCAGCTACTCCAGAGGCTAAGGCAGGAGGACTGCTTGAGCCTAGGAGTTCAAGGCTGCAGTGAGCTATCACTGGGCCACTGCACTCTAGCCTGGGCAACAGAGCAAGACCTAGTCTCTTAAAGAAAAAAAAAAAGAAAAAAAGAAAAAAAAAAGGCATTACAATTACCAGCAGGTAGCTGCAAGAGAAACTTGTGTCTCCTAGCTGGTACCGAATCACTTTCCTCAAAGACTGATGAAGCACTCTCATGCTAAGAAATGCTCATCTGTAAATATTATCAAATGCAGGCACTTAGAATAGTCTAGTTAACAATTTTTAGTAAGCTAGTATATATTATAGCAAAAGCAAAATACTGCCTAGATATGAACGTTTTAGGGGGTTGCTTGGCTGGTCGCCGGCTTGGATTTCGCTCGTACATTCAGCACATAATCATGCCGGAAGGATGAACGGACAGTGCGATTCATCAGTGGCTGAAGAGGGCGGAAGTTGTCCACCATTCTTTTCTCCTTCTCCCCTTCAGAAGTGAAAAGCAGGGTTCGAAATTGCTCAAGCTAGAAATAGAAACAGAAAGCATAAATAATTTCAATAGAAAACTTGCTTTACCTCGTGAATAAATTACTTTCATTTTTACAACTCTGAGCATTCCTTGCAAATTAGATACAGAAGGAGAAGTTATTTCTGGGTAAGAATGCCTTCACCACTTGACAGGGAATAAAATGCCCAGTGGTGGTGGTGATCCTGATGGTGGTCCTGTGGGGAGGAGAGCAGCAGGAGGTGGTGAAACCAGGAGGGCCCTTGGGATCCAAAGACTTGGGGCAAAGGCCCTGTCCCCACATATTATCCATTTACCAAGGATGATGAGTTAATTCATCTCTTTCATTCTCAAGAACCTCCTCTTTAAATAAGCAAAAGAGCCAGCTTACAGAATGAGAAAGGAAAGGTCTGATGCATATACTAACAACACCAAAAAAAGTGGGTTTATAAAACAATTTAACTGAATCATTAACATAAAATAAGTATTACTGATTGCTCACTGCACCTGGGTATTGTGGGCAAAGCAATGCATATTGATGTCTGTATTTTTTCCTTTCCTTTTTTTTTTTAAGACAAAGTCTTACTCTGTCACCCAGGCTAGAGTGCAGTGGTGTGATCATGGTTCACTGTAGGCTCAACCTCTGGGACTCAGGTGATCTCCCACCTCAGCCTCCCAACTAGCTGGGATTATAGGCACATGCCGCCACACCCAGCTAATTTTTAAATTTTTTGTAGAGACAGGGTCTCTCTATGTTGCCCAGGCTGGTCTTGAACTCCTGGCCTCAAGTGATCCTCCCACCTAGGTCTCCCAAAGTGCTGGGATTACAGGTGTGAGCCACCACACCAGGCTGCATGTAGGTGTCTTAACTGGAGACAGGATTCTCTATGCTGGTGCTGTCCAATAGAACTTTCTGCAATGATGGAAATGTCCTCTGCATGGTCCATTACGGTAGTCACAAGCCACATATGGCTACTGGGCACTTGAAATGTGGCCAGTGTAACTGAGGAACTGAATTTTACTTTTAATGTACTTATATTTAAATGTAAATGGTTACATGTGTCCAGTGGTTACAATATTAGACAATATAGCTCAATGCAAAAGGAGCAACCCAGAATATCAACGGCTTGTTCTCTGATGTAGCAGCAGTATCGACCAGTAGCCCCTTGGTTTCAGACCCAACTGTGTTATGACATACTTTACTTAGGCTGGGCGTGGTGGCCTACACCTGTAATCCCAGCACTTTGGGAGGCCAAGGCAGGTGGATCACCTGAGGTCAGAAGTTCAAGACCAGCCTGACCAACATGATGAAACCCTGTCTCTACTAAAATTATAAAATTAGCCAGTCGTGGTGGCGCATGCCTGTAATCCCAGCTACTGAGCCCAGGAGGCGGAGGTTGCAGTGAGCTGAGATCGCGCCACTGGATTCCCACCTGGGCAAAAAGAGCAAAACTGCATGTCAAAAAAAAAAAAAAAAAAAAAAGGAAATATTTTACTTCAGGCCAGCAGGAAAATCCATTCACATTCCCCTCATTCAAACTGAGAAGACAGCCTGGGGCACAGTAGACAAGCAAGTGAAGAGTCATTTGCAACAAAGGCTTCAGGGCAAATAGAGCTGAAGAGGCAGAACTAGGACTGAAAACAAGCAATGTTTATCATACAGCGGCAAATCACACAAAAGCCCTCACTAATTAGGAAGCTGTACAAGCAGTTAATGTTTCTTTTTATTCAGCTAATTGCAGAAGATTAGAAATAGTCTAAGTATCAAAGATAAATGACATCTATCTATGAAATGAACTAATATACAGTCCTTAAAAATACCGAAGATGTTCATTATCTATAAAATGTTCCATGCGGCTGCGTGCGGTGGCTCATGCCTGTAATCCCAGCACTTTGGGAGGCTGAGGCGGGTGGATCAGGAGTTTCAGATCAGCCTGGCCAACATAGTGAAACCCCATCTCTATTAAAAATACAAAAAATTAGCTGGGCATGGTGGTGGGTGCCTGTAATCCCAGCTACTCGGGAGGCTGAGGCAGGAGAATTGCTTGAACCCGGGAGGCAGAGGTTACAGTGAGCCGAGATCACATCACTACACTCCAGCCCAGGCAACAGCTAGAGATTGTCTTTAAAAAAAAAAAAAAAAATGTTCCAGGCATCACTGAGTGAAAAGAGCAGCAAAATGGTATGTACAGAATGATTCCATTTTCATACAAAAATTGTGTATATTTATAAAGATAAAAGACCAGAAGGACTTATGTGCATCTGGATAGACAAGAGACCAGAAGGATTTCCCCAAACAATGATAGTGGTAAAATTATAGGCAACTAGAATAATATTATAGATGACAGCTAGCATTGTTTTCCTTACTAAATTTTCAGTGTTACCATAAGTTTTATATTAAATTACATTCTGGAAGTAGCTAGTACAGTTAGACCAGAAAATACAAAATAAAATTTTAAATTATATAATTGAAAAATAAATTTTAAAATTTCGTTGAAATTGTATTTACAAAGTCCTCACATGGGCCACTGACCCTCTGATGTATTTACTTTGTTTTTCAATGTTATGTCCATTTGTTTTTCTAGAATGAAAATAAGTTGAGGAAATATGTCAATTTTTTAATCCAAAGAATAGAAACAGACTAAATGTACAGGCCACAAAGCCTATACATTTGCAGGCATAAAAGGATTTTCCTATGCTTATCCTAGTACTTTTATGGTGGTATATATCCAGAATGTATTCTTGTGTAAGGTCTGCATGGTGGATCCAATTTTTTCCCCCAAATGCCTGCTCAATTGTTCCTCAACAGCATTTACCGAATACTCTATCTTTCCTGCCAACTGAGTTGAGATGCTATATTTATCATAAAATAAATTCTCATATGTATTTGGACATATTTCTGAAATTATTATTTTCTTCCTGTGATGGTTAATTTTATGTGTCAACTTGATTGGGCCATGGGATGCACAGACAGGTTAAATACTATGCCTACGTATGTCTATGAAGGTGTTTCTGGAGGAGACGAGGATTTGAATTGGTGGACTGAGTAAAGAGAATGGCCCTCCCCAAAGTGGATGGGAATCATCCAATAAATTGAGGGTCTGAATAGAACAAAAAGGCAGAGGAAGGTTGAATTAGCTCTGGTTGCTTGAGCTAGAACATCAATTGTCTCCTTTCTTCGGAGCTCCTGGTTCTCAGGCTTTCAGACCAAGATAGAAATCTACATTATCAGCTCTCCAGTTCTCAGGCCTTTGAACTACACCACTGTCTTTCCTGGGTCTCCAGCTTGCAGATGGCAGATTGTAAGACTTCTTAGTCTCCATAATCACATGGCCAATACCTTATGATAAAACTTTATCTATCTTTTTCTTTATTTATCTTTATAGGGTTATTATATAACCTATAATAATCTATATTTAACCTTTATAGGGTTATTTATCTAACTTTATCAACTTTGTCTTTTTTAATTTTTTTAAATCTTTATCTATATTTGGTATGGTTTGGCCCTGTGTCCCTACCCAAATCCCACGTTCAATTATAATCCCCCTGTGTCAGGGGAGGCGATCATGGAGGTGGATTTCCTCCTCACTGTTCTCATGATAGTGAAAGAGTTCTCACGAGATCTGATGGTTTAAAAGTGTGTGGCACTTCCCCCATCTCTCTCTCTCTCTCCTGCCACCATGTGAAGAAGGTCCTTGCTTCCCTTTTGCCTTCCGCCATGATTTTAAGTTTCCTGAGGCCTCCCAGTCATGCTTCCTGTTAAGCCTGTGGAACTATGAGTCAATTAAACATCCTTTCTTCATAAATTACCCAGTCTCAGGTAGTTCTTTATAGCGGTGTGAAAATGGACTAATACAATATCTATCCTATTGGTTCTGTTTCTATGGAGAATGCTAATATACTTCCCTCGATAGATCTCTTTATCCATGTGCCAGTAACATGCTATTTAATTATTGAGGCTTTATAACCTTGTGAGTCTAATTATCCCGTATTTTTCTAGAATTTTCCCTGGCTATTTATGTGTTTGTCTTTATTCATGAGTTTAGAAATAGCATATCGATTTAAAAATCCTATTGGCATGTTTATTGGGAACACATTAAATTTATGGTGAATAAACAAGTCATGGAGAATGACAACTTAGGTTGTAATTTATGACAAAAAAGGTGTCTTTATGTCTTTTGATCCTATAATGTGTTAACTTTATTAATTCAAGCCTTCTTTTGTATCCTCCAGGAACATTTTAAGTTTTCTTATTAACTTTCCTTGTTAAAATTATTCCAAAGTATTTTATATTTTTGTTTCCATTATAAATAGGGGCCCTTCTTACATTATATCTTTATATCATATCTTTTAACTGATTGTGATTTATGTATGTCAAATGTATTGATTTCTAGAAATTAATATTGTATTCCACTGATTACCAAATTATCTCTGATTTTTGTAGTAGTTTTTTATTGTTTCTCTAATTTATTTTTTATTTTCCGGTCTAACTGCACTGGCTACTTCCAGAATGAATAACTTAATATAAAACTTAATACGGTAACAATCCTTTCCATTCAAAACCTATTATTTGCTTTTGAACTGAGATCAATCCCTTTTATCAAGATAGGGAAGTCTCTATTCAGCTCTGTTTTATTAAAAATTTTCAAAAACGGAATGGTGATTTTTACAAATGTCTTTTTAACTTCCCTGGAAATGATAATATGATTTTTCTATTTAGATCCACTGATAGAATGAATTATATTAATATCATTCTTAACAATGAACCATTCTCGTATTACTGGAGTAAAAGCTACTTGGACAAAGTGTCTATTTCTTCTGATGAATCTGCTGGATTCTGTTTCTAATACTTTCTTTTTAGCTTTTTTTTTTCTTTTATATTCTTTAGAGGGGGTTCCAATCTTTGGTGAGTGTTGGTATCAGTTATGCTGGCTTCATAAAAAGAATTTGGAAGCTTTTTCTCTTATGGAAATGCTTTGTAATCAATAAAAATCCCATAAAACAAGTATGAGTAAATATTATTGTAGTTTAGTTACATTATACATTATACAGGATTTTGAGTGTTTGCATAGTAACTACTACTTAGGCTTAGTTTCTAAGGGAAAAATAGAACCCAAGTTCAAAAAACAAACTTACATTAAAGTTTCTGGACAAACACTGTTGAATTCTATATTTATTCTGAGATTCTATAGTAGAATTCCCTTAAGGATTTTAAAGACTTTTGAACACATTCATTTCCAGCCTTCACTCTTTCCTTTAAAAGGGTCTTGATTTTGTAGAGTTTAATATTTATATATAAAATACACAAGGCATAAGAAGACATATGTAATTGTCAAATATAGATGTAAAAAGCTTATGTTCTTCTGTGTTTTAACTCTTCTCTCTAGTTAATTTGAAACATCCCCAAATTCATGTCCAAACTGAGACAAGACGTTGGTACACTTCAATAGAAATGTATAAGCATTACAAGATGTTAAAACTGATGCCACAGTCTGAGCCCAGCCTTGTTTTAAATGGGCAGACAAGGATTTCCTTAGATTGAAATTGTGGAGAGAACGTACCTGATCGTGATCAACCTCTACTGGTTGCTTCTTAATGATCCAGGTGACAGACTCGGAGAGGGGTGGGGTAGTCAGAGACCCTGAGTAGGTCCAGTAATCTGGGCAGGTAGGCATCAGGCAGGAAGGGTCAAATGACCCAAATTCCACAAGGGTGTCCTGGCCAAGAGAAGAGATAACTGAGTCATTATTTAGTGGTGAAAACCACTCAGGAATCGGACGACGAGGTGATGGTTCTCAGGGAGTATGTGGAGATCAGCAGTGGTCCAGAGGAGCTCCGGGCCTTTCTGGGCAGCTTCCTGAAGAATCGCTGCTTAGGATGGAATCATGTCCAGGCTTTGTTTCTGCAATTAACTGTGTATTTTTTATATTCCACAGTAGGAAAACAGCCAAAACCATTTGATCTCTCAATTCTAGTGAGGTTACATCAGGTAGTCTCCTCTGAGTTTTGCTGAGAGGTTTCAGACAGCGGCCATTGCATAAAGAAGGAGGCTTTGCATTTTCAAGAAAGGCTAACTGAGACTTGTCCTTTTAGGAAGAAATGCAGATCAGGAGGAGCCAGAAACCTGGACTGAAAGGAAAGAGAGGGAAAAAAGAGGAAAATGGAGAGGAGAGGAGAAGAGAGGAGAGGGAAAGAGGTAGGGACCAGAAGGAGAGAGTGGGGGATGGGGGGAGATAATATATGGGCTTCCAGAGAGGAAAGGAGAGGGAAAGAGGTGGGGACCAGAGGGATACAGTGGGGGATGAGAGGGAGAAGGAGAATATATGGGCCTCCACAGAGCAGCCCCTTTGAGATTCTGAATATTGAAGAATTAATATTGGGGGACTAGACAAAGGCATCCGACCTGAAGGATGTGGGTCATTGTTCTTTCCAGCTGGACAAGGCAAGTTTCTGTAGAACTGCTCTCTGCTCCCTGCCTGTGGGATGGCAGTTACAGACAAGAAGGCTGCTCTGGGTGTGTTTATAAGGACTTAGAAGGAGCTGGTGTCAGGAACAGAGGAGGGGACAGCAATATGTTCCTGAGTCCCCAAGTCCTCAGTGGCACCGCGGCAAAACCAAAAAGCTCACTGCCTACCCACAGAATCATGACTTCTGTCCCCTGGAATCATAAATGACAGTTTTCTTCTAAGGCTGAATACAGTTCACGTAATTAAACTTCCCAATTCAAAGTGCCTTGGTAATGTCTCCACTCTGAGACTGAAACATAAAAGTACATTTCAAGTAATTATGGAAAACAAATAGTACCTTATGCTTTATTGACGGCAAAGTATCCACTAATTTCTGTAGCTCTTTATGATGTTTGCCTAGCTAAAGAACAACAAATAAGAAAATATTACAAACAATGGACATCTCACTGTAGAAACTAACAGAATGTGAATTAAAATTAACTAACTGGTGATTACATAAAAACAAACTGCATGACTGAAATTACACTTAAACTTGTAATTTATAATTTTATAAACATTACTGAATTAAATTAGAGAACACACGAGCAGGCTGTTTGCTGACAAGGTCAGCATGCCTGCAGAGAAAGGTGCCCCCTGCTTCGTTTAAGTTCTTAAATTGGAATTAAAATTAAATAAAATGAAAAATGGTTCCACAATTGCAGTAGACACATTTCAAGTGCTCAATTGCCACATGTGGCTTGTGACCACTCTATTGGGCTGTGCATTTTTATACCATTCAAAATATATTCTTTTTTTGGTGGTGCAGGGGATGGAGTCTCTCTCTGTTGCCCAGGCCAGAGTGCAGTGGCACAATCTTGGCTTACTGCAGCCTCCACCTCCCAGGCTCAAGTGATCCTCCTGCCTCAGCCTCCCGAGTAGCTGGGATTATAGGTGCGCACTACCATGCCCGGCTAATTTTTGTATTTTTAGTAGAAATAGAATTTCCCCATGGAAACCAGGCTGGTCTCTAACTCCTGACCTCAAGTGATCTGCCTGCCTCAGCCTCCCAAAGTGCTGGGATTACAGGCATAAGCCACTGTGTCTGGGCCTAAAATATATTCTTAACAATCCTGTATTTCTTTCTTTTTTTTTTTTGGCGGGGGGGTGGATAGAGTCTCACTCTGTCACCAGGCTGGAGTGCAGTGATGCAATCTCAGCTCACTGCAACCTCCGTCTCCCAGGTTCAAGTGATTCTCCTTGCCTCAGCCTCCCAAGTAGCTGGGATTACAGGCGCCCATCACCACACCTGGCTAATTTTTTTGTATTTTTAGTAGAGATGGGTTTTCACTATGTTGGCCAGGCTGGTCTCAAACTCCTGACCTCGTGATCCACCTGCCTCGGCCTCCCAAAGTGCTGGGATTACAGGGGTGAGCTGCCACACCTGGTCGTACAATCCTGTATTTCAATCACTATTTATCTTACCAATGTATGGATCCCAATATTCTTAAAGTAAATAACAATATTATAATGTTCTATCTTTCCATTCTAGAATACAACACATCATTTAAAGTTGGTGAAATTTTTTACCTTTAAAAATACTCCTATCACGGCCAAACCATTTTCTTCCAGTGCTGCATCCTCAAAGTTTTCAAATTTGACTGCATTCCAATGCACTAAGTGCAGCTGAAACACCATGGAAAGAGGGTTAACCCATGACTGCACAGACTCTCTCCAGAATAAACCCACAGCCTCAGTCAACCTACGACATTTAAACACATTTCTTCACCCAAAGTAAAGCCACCAAGAAAACCATATGACAACATGGTGCAAGATGAGACAGAAACAAAGATCAGGGAGAAATTTAGGCAAGAGCAGCAATTAATATTATTTTAGAATGAAGGGATTTATTTGGGGAGAAAAATAGAAAATTCATATAACAAAGTGACACTTCAGTGAGCAATCAACATCTGTCCAGTCCCATCTTGAGTTGCACGAAATACCAATATTCAAAATCCACTTGCATCTACAGGAGGGACGACGTTTATATTGAGAGAAATAGATCCTCCATATGGAAATTACGCAGGAGTTAAAGACAAACTTTTTCTTCAAGGAATAACCATTTAAAATGTGCTTTTAGGCTGGGTGTGGTGGCTCACACCTGTAATCTCAGCATTTTGGGAGGCCAAGGTGGGAGAATCACTTGAACCCAGGAGTTTGAGACCAGCCTGGACAACATAGCGAAACCTTGTCTCTACCAAAATATTTAAAAATTAGCAGGGCAGGCCAGGCGCGGTGGCTCACGCCTGTAATCCCAGCACTTTGGGAGGCTGAGGCGGGTGGATTACGAGGTCAGGAAATCGAGACCAGCCTGGCTAACACGGTGAAACCCTGTGTCTACTAAAAATACGAAAAATTAGCCAGGCGTGGTGGTGGGCACCTGTAGTTCCAGCTACTCGGGAGGCTGAGGCAGGAGAATGGCGTGAACCCAGGAGGCAGAGCTCGCAGTGAGCTGAGATTATGCCACTGCACTCCAGCCTGGGCGACAGAGCGAGACTCCATCTCAAAAAAAAAAAAAAAAAAAAAAAATTAGCAGGGCATGGTGGTGTGCGCCTGTTGTCTGAGGTGGGAGGATTGCTTAAGGTTGAGGCTGCAGTGAACCGTGATTGTGCCACTGCACTCCAGCCTGGGTGACAGAGTGAGACCCTGTCTCACAAAACAAAATAAAATGAAACAAATATAAAATAAATTTTTAAATGTGCTTTTATTTTTACATAACATTTACAACTGAATTAGGAAAAAAGTTGTAAGAAGAAATTCTATTTCCTTAAAATCTCCCTTTATTTCCCTATAAATTATTCCTCATCCACCAGTTATGAATGCATTATCACCCAGCCTCCCAAGTGAGACACCACAAAATCATGGTTAACTTTGCCTTCTCCTATCCTGAAGAGAACCCCACCTTCAAGTCCTGTTGCTTTAATTTCCGAAACGCTTGATAAATCTTGCTCCTTTTCTCTATTTCTATTGCCACAGCCTTCATTTAGGCTCCCACCACCGCAAACTTGCATTAATTCGACCTGTGGCTCCACAATGTTCCCTGGGTTATTACTCTGGGCTACTATTTGAGTCCACCTTCGAATTCCAGAAGAATTCAGTTTCAGGATCTTAAGGTTCATTTCAACTATATTATTTGAGATGAGAGAAGTTAACATGTTTACATGTCTTAGCTGAGAATGATCAAAACTGCCTGAGAAAGCTATTTAGCATTTATAGGAATCACCTGATTCTTTCTGCTAATTTCTTACAACTAAAAGTTCAGAATTATCCCCACTTCTCTACAGTTGTCACTGTTCCTGACCTTCTCAACATACCTCTGCTGGGAAGCATTTGCTGTCCACGGTGTGCTCAGAACCCCAGGCATCGATGGCCCCCCAGTGAAAATGGAACTGCTTCAATCGGTAGTTGTGTTCCAGGGGTCCTCCCTTGATCACTAAAATGGCACATCCAACAATTCAGAGAAGAGTTATTTGTGCAGTGGGGAAATGTGGGTGAAAGGCCAAATCTCCAGTGGACCCTCCATGTGAACTGTGTTAAATGGATTATACTGAATTATATACAAGTGATTATAAATTTGATTTTCATGAAGTCAATGCACGTATAAGGACAAGACCAAATAACATAAAGATTTAACTACATAACAAGCTACAAACAATTGTTAAAGGCCAATTCTTGACTTAATTTTATATCCTATATTATTGTGTCCAGTTTTCTTTTGTGTGCAATAAAATGCAAATTTCTCTCAGCATATTTATCCAACATGACTTTATAATACTGAAATATGGGGATAAAGGGATCCTTCTTTTTTTATGCACAGACACTTTGTTTTTCAATTTTTTAAGATACTAGTGTTGCTTTCCCTTTCATTGAAATGGAATAGGAAATTTGCAAGTCAAAAACGATCACCTTGGAGATGTTGGTCAAAAGGTACAAAGTTTCAGTTAGGAAGAATATGTTTTCAAGATTTATTGCACAGCATGGTGACCATACTTGATAATAATGTATTGCACATTTCAAAATTACTAAAAGAGTAACCGTAGATTTTCTCACTACAAAAAAAAAATGGTAAGCATGTGAGGTGATGAATATTTTCATTGCTTGATATAATCATTCCACCATGGATACATATATCAAAAGATTACATTGTACCTGGTAAATATATACAAATATGTCAACTGAAAAAACACACTGGCCGGGCCTGGTGGCTCACACCTGCAATCCCAGCACTTTGGGAGGCTGAGGTGGGTGGCTCATCTGAGGTCAGGAATTTGAGACCAGCCTGGCCAACACGGTGAAACCCCATCTCTACTAAAAATACAAAAAAAAAAAAAAAATTAGCTGGGCGTGGTGGCCCATGCCTGTAGTCCCAGCTACTCAGGTGGCTGAGGCACAAGAATCACTTGAACCCAGGAGGCGGAGGTTGTGATGAGCCGAGATCGTGCCACTACACACCAGCCTGAGTGACAGACCGAGACTCTGTCTCAAACACACACACACACACACACACACACACACACACACACATTACCAATATATTATAGGCAAAATATTGACAAGTGTTTTTTTTGTTTGTTTTTTTTAAAATGGGGTCTTACTCTGTCGCCCAGGCTGGAGTGCAGTGGCACAATGTCAGTTCACTGCAACCTCTTCCTCCTGGGCTCAAGCCATTCTCCTACCTCAGTCTCCTGAGTAGCTGGGACTACAGGCGTGCACCACCATGCCAGGCTAATTTTTTTTTTTTTTTTTTTAGAAATGGTGTTTTGCCATGTTGCTCAGGCTTGTCTCGAACTCCTAAGCTCAAGAGATCCACCCATCTCAGCCTCCCAGAGTGCTGGGATTACAGGCGGTTGCGCCACTGCACCTGACCCAGATAAGACGTTTTTGGCTGGGCGCAGTGGCTGATGCCTGTAATCCCAGCTGTCAAGCAGCTGTCAGGCTAGTTAATTGGGATGTCACTGGTAACCTCAGCAAGATTAAAGGAAAAAGGTGGGGTTGGGTGGGGCAAATGAATGCAGGAAATAAGGAAATATAGTCATCAAGAAATGGGGCAGGCCCAGCAGTGGCTCACACCTATAATCCTAGCACTCTGGGAGGCCAAGGTGGGAGGATCACTTGAGGCCAGGAGTTTGAGACCAGCCTGAAAAACATAGTGAGACCCAGTCTCTACAGAAAAAAAGGAAAGAAACCAAGAAATAGGGCAGGTAGACAGAAGATAGTGAATTGGAAAGCAGAGCAGTCATAACACATAACAAATAAATATATACTTATGTATTTCAGGTTGATATTTTCTTCTTTTATTTTTTTATTTTTTTGAGACAGAGTCTCACTCTGTTGCCCAGGCTGGAGTGCAGTGGCACAATCTCGCCTCACTGCAACCTCCAACTCCCAGGTTCAAGTGATTCTCCTGCCTCAGCCTCCCTGAGAAGCTGGAATTACAGATGTGTGCCACTATGCCCGACTAATTTTTGTATTTTGGTAGAGAAGGGGTTTCACCATGTTGGTCATGATGGTCTCAAACTCCTGACCTCAAGCAATCCACCCACCTCGGCCTCCCAAAGCACTGGGATTACAGGCATGAGCCACCATGCTTGGCCTGATATTTTAATCTTTCCATGCTCTGAGAAAGGATTAAACTTGTAAAAAATTACATGACAAATATAAAACATTCAGCAGAGAGTCTGGCTGGTAGTAAGCAATCTGTAATATTCACTCCCTCCTTTTGCTTTTCAACGTGAAAGAGAAGGAGCTGACACAGAAAGGGATGGTGAAGAGAAAGGAAATACATAGAACCCATACAGATAAAAGCAAATGCAGGAAATGGACACGAGGAATGCTTCTGGGGTGATGGAAATGTTTTAAAATTAGATTATAGTGATGGTTGCACAACTCTTGTAAATTTCCTTTAAAAATCATTCAATTGTATGTGTGTTTTAAACTGCGTACATGTGTTTTAAACTGTGTATGTGTTTTAAACTGTGTACATGTGTTTTAAAGTAAATGTAGGACCAAAACAGGGAAGGAGAACTTAAAATGTTTGTGAAAGCATTCTTACTAGGTTCACTGGCACTGCCCCAGAGGAGTGTAAAGTCAGGGAGGCAGGATGAAGCAGGATGGAGCAGGAAGCACCCTGAGGAGGAGAACAAAGGCACTCACCTCTCCATCTCTTTAATGCCTGTAGACAGTGCCAATAAGAGGAATTCCAGAGGACATGATAATTGACAGGGATCATCCAGGGATAATTTAGTGCCCTTCCCCACAGTATTTCCACTCTCTTATATGCACTCATTCAAATCAGTAACAGTGTCCTACTCAGGGGAACCAAATACTAAATAACGCCCAGCAGAGGACTGCGGTATGAGATGTTCACATACCTTCTCTTATAATCCTATTAAGGTAGGTCATGTTGTCCTCTTTTTCATTCCAGAGTTTAGTAATTTGAGTCTTCTGTCTTTTATTTTTCTCTTGGTCTCCCCCAATTAAAAGTTTGTCAACTTTGTTTATCTTCCCAAAGAACCAACTTTTGATTTCATTGATCTCTGCTCGTTCTTTATTATGTCCTTCTCTCTACTTGCTTTTGGGTTTAGTTTGTTCTTCTTTTTCTAGCTTCTTAAGGTGGAAAGCTGAGATACTGACTTGAGAAAGTTCTTCTCTATTATAGGCATTTTCATCTATAAATTTCCCTCTAAGCACTGCTTTAGCTGCATCCCAAAAGGACTGGTATGATGTTTTTGTCACATACCTTCCCCAGCTCCTTTTCCTTGCACTTTATTCCAATCCTCATAAAGCACACTGTGGCAGCATCTCTTAGGGTTTTTTCTTTGAAATTTATAGACATCGATATTTATTAGGTTTTTACTTTTCTAGAATTGTTTCTTGCCTTTCTTTGTTTCTAGAATGTCTTTGCTTTCTTTCACTTTTTATTTTTTATGTTCATTCACTCTTTTTTTCCTCTTTGCATGCTATTGATTTGCAACAACATGGAGAAATAGCAATGAAGAATAAGCAGGAAATAAGAGGCAGTCACTGAAAGGTGGAGAGAGAGAGAGAGAGAGAGAAAGTTAGGCAATTACTAAAAATTGATGCTATCTTAAAGAAAATAATTATTAAAGCATAATTTAAAAGGGCTATCAGTTTTAGTTCTTTCCAACCAAACAAGAAAAATATTAGCAAACTCTCTACAATTTTTCTTGCATATTTTGTAAGTGTGTGATTGACACACCTAGGGAAGACATGGTCAAGGGGTGAATTAGTCGGTTGGGTTTGTAGGTATCTAAAAAGAAGCTATTATGACGAAAACGTGGATGACTTGCCATCTCAGATTACTCATGCAAATGGGTAGATAAGAATTCTTGAGGCCTGGATCGGTAGCTCACACCTGTAATCCAAGCACTTTGGGAGGCCGAGGTGGGAGGATCACTTGATCTCAGGAATCCAAGACCAGTCTGGGCAACACAGTGAAACTCCATCTCTACAAAAAATACAAAAATTAGCCGGGGCCAGGCACAGTGGCTCACGCCTATAATCTCAGCACTTTGGGAGGCCAAGGTGGGCAGATCACTTGAGGTCAGGAGTTTGAGACCAGCCGGGCCAACATGGTGAAATCCGTCTCTACTAAAATACAAAAATTAGCCGGGCATGATGGCATGTGCCTGTAATCCCAGCTACTCAGGAGGCTGAGGTGGGAGAATTGCTTGAACCCAGGAGGTGAAGGTGGCAGTGAGCCAAGATCACACCACTGCACTCCAGCCTGGGCAACAGAGTCAGACACCATCTCAAAAAAAAAAAAAAAAAAAAAAAAAAAAAAAAAAAAAAAGGCCAGGTGCAGTGGCTCACGCCTATAATCCCAGCACTTTGGGAGGCCGGGGGGTGGATCACCTGAGGTCAGGAGTTTGAGACCAGCCTGGCCAACATGGTGAAACCCTGTCTCTACTACAAATACCAAAAATTAGCAGGGTGTAGCGGCAGGCGCCTGTAATCCCAGCTACTCAGGAGGCTGAGGTGGGAGAATCACTTGAACCCGGGAGGCAGAGGTTGCAGTGAGCCGAGATCACGCCACTGCACTCCAACCTGGGCAACAAGAGCAAAACTCCATCTCAAAAACAAAAACAAACAAACAAAAAAATTAGCCAAGCGTGGTGGCACATGTAGTCCACACTTGTAGTCCCAGCTACTCAGGAGACTGAGGTGGGAGGATTGCTTGAGTCCAGGAGGTTGAGGCTGCAGTGAGCTGCGATCATGCCACTGCACACCAGCCTGGGCAACAGAGTGAGACCCTGCCTCAAAAAAAAAAAAAAAAAATTCTAGAATCTGTTGTTCAAAAGAAAAAGACAGGACTAAAAAATAAAATAGCTATTTGCTCTAAAAGTTCTTGGGCTCAAGTCACTTGGTTAAGAAACTCATTAAGCAACTTTCTAAGACTTCCAACTCAACGAAGCAATGATATATTGGCAATAGAGAGTCCCTATACTGTCAAGGGCTTTAGAAAGCTGACCAATACAAAGGATCCCCAGAAGAAAGCAGGCTGCTAGGGCCCTAGATGGGGTTGAGAATTCAAAAGGATTGCTATGCATGCAGAGTAAATGGATGAGAGTTGGTATCCTATAGACTGGGTCTGCCCATTAGTTTACATCTGGCAGGGATAATGGTAGAGCCGCAAGGGGACAAGTAGAGCTCACCAGAGTGCCAGATAGTCATCCAAAACACAGGAATTTAGCTTGTTGTTTTGAAAATTTCTGGAATCCGTATAAACAAGGTAATATTATGGGCTTCCAGTTGAGAAGGGGGCACACTCTAGAGTTTTGGGGAAATTAAGAAAGATGCGTGATGATGGGTATACTAAAAGCCCAGACTTCACCACTACACAATATATCCATGTAACAAAACAAAACTAAACTTATACCCACTAAATATATTTTAAAAGAACATACATCAATATCATTTTTCTTTCTTATCTTTTTTATTCCTCCCTTCTCTAGCTGTTCCACCAACAGACCCAGGTAGCCTTAAACAATGTTTCCCTAAGCATGGTACATATACCGCTGATGGCACACGAGATGGTTTTACGTGGTACAAGAAGCTTTTACTTATATAGTAAGTTACTTTAAGAGAGTTAGAAACCATATAATGAAACACATCAACCTGTGAATTCACAGATATAAAATTTAAATAAATAACTTTATGCAAAAAAAGGGGGGAAGAAAGATGCCCATGAATCTGGGAGGAAAAAGAATTTCCTACTTTGAGATATGAAAGTAAGATGTTCATGGTTTGGGGGCTGTGTCATACCATGGAGAAGAAAGGAAAGTTGGGGACATGGAGACACCTAAACTCTTAAAGACAGACTCAAATACCTTCTGAATCATAGCAGAGAAATATATCAGAAGGGAGAAAACCAGAGACAGATTAAGCCCATTGGAGGAGCAGTCTGTTTGTAGTTGGGCCAGAGTGCCAGGTCTAAGTATCAGAGCACCACTAGCAAAATACAAAGAAAATAAAGACACAATTGAGACTCAGAGCCAGAATAAATGCAAGAGTGAATATTTACTTTTTTTTTTTTTTTTTTGAGACAGACTCTCACTCTAACACCAGGCTGGGGTGCAATGGTGCGATCTTGGCTCACTGCAAACTCCGCCTACCGGGTTCAAGTAATTCTCCTGTTTCAGCCTCCCAAGTAGCTGGGATTACAGGCATGCGCCACCACACCTGGCTAGTGTTTTGTATTTCAGTAAAGACGGGGTTTCACCATGTTGCCCAGGGTGATCTCGAACTCCTGAGCTCAGGCAATCCGCCCACCTCGGCCTCCCAAAGTGCTGAGATTACAGGCGTAATCCACCGCTCCTGGCCTCATTATCATTTTTATGGACTCATTTCCTAACATTCATGAGAGAAAACAAGTTTCCTTGAGATCAAGATTTCTCAGTTTTAGCTCTATTGATACTGGAGGCTAGATAACTCTTCGTTAAGGTTATCTGGTGCACTGTAGGATCTTTAGCGGCATCCCCGACTTTGACACACTAGACGCCAATTTTGTTTCCCAAGTTGTGACAACCAAAAACGCCTTTGGATCCTGCAGTGGGGAGTGAGGGATATGGAGGGGTATGGGGGAAAGTTGGCAAAATTACCACTAGTTGATGACTACTTTAAACTATTTCGAATAATAATTATTTTGAGACTAATTTGGACTATTTGACATCATCAAATGCAGTAAAACAAACACGCAAACAACAACAAAAAAAGGGAAAATAAATCTTCACAAAATTAGCCACCTTCTATCTTCCACAGATACTAAGAAGTTTCAGGTAAACTTTGAAATCATTCACATTAGTTTATATCCAGGAAGGTTAAAGAAAGATTCAAAATCAACATAATATTTGAATTTGAAAAACTCTTTTTTTTTTTCTTTTTTTGAGACAGAGTCTCGCTCTGTTGCCCAGGCTGGAGTGCAGTGGCCGGATCTCAGCTCACTGCAAGCTCCGGCTCCTGGGTTTACACCATTCTCCTGCCTCAGCCTCCCAAGTAGCTGGGACTACAGGCGCCCGCCACCTCGCCCGGCTGGTTTTTTGTGTTTTTTAGTAGAGATGGGGTTTCACCGTGTTAGCCAGGATGGTCTCCATCTCCTGACCTCGTGATCCACCCGTCTCGGCCTCCCAGAGTGCTGGGATTACAGGCTTGAGCCACCGCACCCAGCCCCGAAAAACTCTTTTAAAGTGTTCTTTTAAACTAGGTAGGTAACACTGTTTATTTAACAAAATTACCAGATCATAATTTCCATTTCTCTAATATATGACTAGTCTTTGCAACCTAATGCACACATGACTATTCTTTTGGCCCCATTTCAAGTGTATTGTAATCTGCTAAGTTAAATCTGATTAAACAGTGTTACTGTTTAATGTAAAAGTTCTCGTAAAGTCAACAAGCAAAGGAAAAAATTAGTACATATTCAATATACACATACAAAATAAATTTCTGGCAAAACTTCCATTTCACACCTATGCTCTATACCAATTGTAAATCTATACATAGAGAGAGAGAGATAAATTTATTAATTAAAAATACTACCTATACTAGTTGAAGAAAATACGCATAAAAACTAGAAGGAATTTTTTTCACACATTCAAAAAGTTAAGATCAATGAGTTCCTTGCCATTGCTAACAAAGAGGTCAATACTGTCATGGCGAGAATTTGATGTGTCCGTGTTAACATGACACTGTTTCTTTAACTCCTTACAAGACCACCCGATCTTGCCCTCACCTGATTTATCTGTAGAATCTTCAAATTCCACGAGGAAAGAGTACCCATTATTCCAGACGTGGAGGCAGGTGGCTGGGTCATAAGAGATGGTGAGCGGTTTTAAGTCGGGATCATAAACACTGTCCCTCCACCGAATGTTGATGGGTGACTGTCGATCACCCCCGGGAACCAGGTCCACGCTCTCCCAGAGTGGATGCACTAGGAGAAAGCAGGTCAGGCTATTATCAAGACTGTTGGACCGAGTGTGGTGGCTCACTCCTATAATCCCAGCACTTTGGGAGGGTAAGGCGGGTGGATCACTTGAGGCCAGGAGTTCGAGACCAGCCTAGGAAACACGGTGAAACCCTGTCTCTACAAAATATACAAAAAAAATTATCCAGGCGTGGTGGTACACACCTGTAGTCCTAGCTACCAGGGAGGCTAAAGTGGGAGGATTGCTTGAGCCCAGGAGGTCAAGGCTGTTGTGAGCCATGATCGCACCACTGCACTCCAGCCTGGGCGACAGACCCAAACCATGTCTCAAAAGAAAAAAAGAAAACAAAGCCTGTCTACTGTACTTCTGGAGAACCTGTCAGGGCTAATGGAAACTAAAAGCCTTAGGAATTAGCCACTGTGATAGTTACTTTTAGGTGTTGACTTGACTAGATTAAAGAATACCTAGAAACCTGGTAAAGCATTATTTTGGGGTGTGTCTCTGGGGGTGTTTACAGAGGAGACCAGCATGTAATTCTGAGTGGACTAGGTGGGAAAGATTCGCCCTCAATGTGGGCAGGTATCATCCAAACTGCTGGGGGCCCAGAGAGAACAAAAACATGGAAAAACTGAATGTACCCATCTATCTGCTGGATCTTGGATACACTCTTCTGCTCCTGTCCTTGGGTAACAGCTACAGGCTTCCCAGCCTTTGGACTCCAGAACTAACACCAGCACCTCTCTGGGTTCTCAGGCATTTGGCCTCAAACTGATAGGTATACCATCAGCTTCCCTGGTTCTGAGGCCTTTGCCTTGGACTGTCCCATACTACCAGTATCTTAGGGTCTCTGGCTTGCAGATGGAACTTCTCAGCCTCTATAATCGTGTGAGCAATTGCCACTAATAAATTCCCGCTCATCTATCTCTCTATCTATATACCTTATTGATTCTGCTTCTGGAGAACCCTGACCAATACAGCCACTTAGGGGTTTAATCGATAGACAAAAGTAGAGGATAAAGATAGGTCAGACAGCACCTGGCAGAGGAATAGCATTTTGGCATCTTGCAAAACCAACACATCTCAGTCTGCCTACTAAGCTCACCTAAACCAAGTGCAATCTGTGCTGTGATCACAGCATAATGCATGGAGTTTAGTGCCACGTGGAAATAGGGTATTCATAAATGAGTTTCTTTTCTTCATTGAGAATTTCCCAAGCCCCAACTCCCCAAAGTGGCTTTAAATACAAAGACAAATTAATTCAATCTTCAATAACAGATTTATTTTCAAAAAAGGAAATGGGAGAACTTTGGGAAAGGAAACATTCAATCAGTATTGTCAGTGTTTAATTGGTTGGCTGGTAGAAATCAAGGCTTGCATAGCCTGCATCCTGTAAGATGCTCGCCCCACATAACTGTGCATGCTGAGTTGAGTTCACCTCCTATGTAAGCAAACTCTGAGGACCAGGCAGCCATCCTGCAAAACCTGGGTAGAACGTCGGCATTGCTAAGGTCCCTGGGGGTCGCAGTGTGTCACAGGGATGTGGAGATTATCTATTAAGGTGTACACATACAATTCATCCCCCACAGGCACTGAAGACATTGCTGATGCTGGTTGTCCTCCAGAGTCAAGCACCAGGTCTCTGTAGCAAGTCCCTGATAAGTATCAGCAGACTTGCTGATAACACAGATCGGCCTGTTGAGACCCCCATGTGTGATGAGCAGAACCAATGTGTATCAGTTTGGGGTGATCCAGTTCCCTGTCCTTTAGAAGTACCATGGATGGGTAGAATCAAGAACAACAGGAAAACTAGGAGAAACATGAGAGAAATCATTACCAACGACCCTCTGCATCTCGCCCTACCACTAAGAATAAGGATGAGACTGGCCGGGCGCGGTGGCTCACGCCTGTAATCCCAGCACTTTGGCAGATCACGAGGTCAGGAGATCAAGACACGGTGAAACCCCATCTCTATAAAAAATACAAAAAAAATTAGCCGGGTATGGTGGCACACTCCTGTAGTCCCAGCTACTCGGGAGGCTGAGGCAGGAGAATAGCTTGAACCCGGGAGATGGAGGTTGCAGTGAGCCGAGACTGCGCCACTAAACTCCAGCCTGAGTGACAGAGTAAGACTGTCTCAAAAAAAAAAAAAAAAAAAGGATGAGACTAAGGTAGTTGTTTTGTTACTCTGTCAAATCCCCCGTCAGTGGCAGCATCATCCTCCTATTTCCATAAAAAGCAGAAACCTGCCCCTGGTTTACTCTGACGGAGCAGATAATCCTCTTCCTTCGGTAATTACTGAAAGCTGGAAGTCAATCTCTCTTTTTTTTTTTTTTTAGATGGAGTCTTGCTCTGTCTCCCAGGCTGGAGTGCAGTGGCATGATCTTGGCTCACTGCAACCTCTGCCTCCTGGGTTCAAGCGATTCTCCTGCCTCAGCCTCCTGAGTAACTGGGATTACAGGCGCATGCCACCACACCCAGCTAACTTTTGTGTATTTTTAGTAGAAATGGGGTTTCGCCATGTTGGCCAGGCTGGACTTGAACTCCTGGTCTCAAGTGATCCACCCACCTCGGCCTCCCAAAGTGCTGGGATTACAGGCGTGAACCACTGTGCCTGACCGTAAATCAGTATCTTAACCTTCGTGTCTTAGTGTTTTGTTTTGTTTTATTTATAAAAGTGCTCCAGCAATACAGACAAAGAGCTCTCCTGAGAGTGCCTAAATCAGTGGTTTTCAACAGAGAGAACAATTCAGTCCCCCAAAAACATTTGGCAATGTCTGGAGACATTTTCAGATGGCAAAACTGGGAGAGCATGCTAGTGACATCTAGTGGTTAGAGGCCAGAGATGCTGCTAAACATCCTACAATGCACAGGATGGGCTCCCAGAAGAAAACCATTCTGATCCAAAAGCCAATAGTGCCAAAGTTGAGAAACCCTGGTCTAAAGATAAAAGGTGCATGCAAACTCATAATATTCTTCTCTTTCTATTTCTTCATATAATGCAGTACTCTCATTTCTGGAGAGATCTGAACCCAATGTTCTGTGTGTGTTTTTTTCTTTTCTTTCCTTAGTATAAAACAACTTGTGATGAACAAGAACTTTAAAGAACAAGAAGTTTCTGTTTCAGAAATCTAAAATGGAAAATGCACATGAACTGGCACATCGGAAACAGAATCTGGGCTATACTGTCATAATCTAATTAGAATGCAAATTCCTTGTGGGCAGGAGCCACATCTTCCTCCTTTTTTGTTGCCCTGTGGTATCTTATTAAACATATGCCCTTCTGGAAAACATCCTATTAGGTACTATGTTCACTATCTGGGTGACAGGATCAATAGAAGCCCAACCTCATCACCATGCAATATACCCATGTAACAAATCTGCATATGTAACCCCTGAATGTAAAATAAAAATGGACATTTTTAAAAAGAAAGAAATTAACAATTTGAAAAAGCAATCATGGCAACTATGCAGCAGCCAACATCATAAAATATACAACCTCAGGGTCTAAAAATGTTTAGTAATTTTATCCAGTAAAATATCATATATTTTTCATCTTAGAGGGAAAGATGATCTTAAATTTCTGTTACATTTGGTTCTGTTATATCCACCCAAACACTTGGATTCATATGCATGATGAATAAACATCTCTTTTAAAGGCAAAAATAAAAAATAAAATAAACATATGCCCTGTAACATATCCAACTGCCATTGTTAGGGGGAAAAAAAGCTCAAATTCAAATGATTTGCAAGGATTCAAACGATCTGAAAAATGATTCAAATTATGTTAATTTTTAAACTTCTAGAAAGCCCTTGAAAGGCCCAGATTCTGTTTTTAAAGATTCCTGGCAAAAAGAGACTATGTACCTTCCCCTCTGAGACACTCAGACTGTGGTTGATAATTTGAGAATTCACACTCTTCAAAGCCATTCAATGAGGGTCTCCTGTGAAGACTAGGGAAGAACTGGAGTGATTAGGTACCTAAGACGATGCCTTGGTCACCCTTAATTGTTCCCCATCTCATTCATGAAATGGGAAGTATCAACACTCACACTCATGCAAATACCAGCCCAAGAAAACTGGGCCTATTCCTGCAATTGCTCTTTAATGACCATAACGACACGATCAATTTATGCCCTTGAGTTTACAAGTTCAGCTTCCAGGTTTTCTTTCCTCCTACCCACCTCCTTCTTTACTAAACTACACCATCTAGGTTAGACCATCCAACTTACTGTGTGGGGAGGGGGTCCTTGGTCACTCTCCCCTTACTGAAGCCAATTTTTTGCCAACGGCTTGTTTTGCTAAAGATAAACTGACACTTTTGTTCTTTCCTACTCCCCTCCTTTTCCTCTATTTAAGGAAAAATCAGATCAAAACAATTTCCTGGTAGTTGCTCATATTTTACCTCAAAAATAAGAAATTATTTAAATTATTAAAAAAAAAAAATACAGGTGCAAGCCACCGCTGCCTGGCTAAATTTTGAGGAGACGCCTACATTCACACCATAGCACAAATCTTCCCAGTGATGCTTCTCATCTTATTCCATCCACAAGTATTCACCGAAAGCCAGCTGGCTCACAGAGCAGTGAGGAAGGCAGATAATTAGACACATATGCATATAATTATAACTGCACCCATGTAATAAATGTCGTGAAAGAAAAATCGGAGTGCTATGATTAAAAAATTATAATATGAAGTGATCATATTATAAGAGAGTAGCCAGAGATCACTTTGTCAAGGAGGTGACAATTAAGCCCAAGACCTAAAGATAATGGGGTGATGATTAAGTGGTTTAACAGAAGCTTCATTTTCAGATTCTTCTTGTATAGGGAAAATAGACAGTGAAATAGAAATAGACAGTGATTTTATCAACTGTGGTTTATGTTAACAAAGACACACTATTATTAAGAAGGTGTCGGCCGGGTGCGGTGGCTCGTGCCTGTAATCCCAGCACTTTGGGAGGCTGAGGCAGGCGGATCACCTGAGGTCAGGAGTTCAAGACCCGCCT